GGAGGCGGGGCCACGTGGCTGTCATTGTGAGGGGCACAGAGGGCGGTCAGTATGAGTGGCACTAACTGGGCGGCCGTCCTGGGGGTGAAATGGGTGGAAGAAAACAGTGGAAAACATCTGGTTGTGGTTCTGATGGTAATTTCTTAACTGAGCCCCGTTTTTACAGATGAGGCGACTCATGCCGGAAGTAGTCCAGTAGTTTGCTCAAGCCTTCACAACTAACCAATGCCAGAATTCGGTTGGACTGAACAGTTAAAAAACACCACTTTTTTAACTCTTCCATTCTCTTCAGCTGCCATTTAATGAGACCACTATTTCCCATTTTGACCAATAGGCATAGGAATAACATCAAACTAAATTTAAGAGAGAAGCATCAACCCTTTTTAAAATAACATACTAAATGTTTAACCACCAATATGGATGAAATTGTACCGACCCCCCATCCATCATTCCTTAATCCTAACTTTCTGGCCTCTAATCCTCATTTCCAAGATTGGTTTAGGTTAAGAATTGCAGTTAAAGCATAGTATTTAACTAGGTCTTCCTGATCTAACAGAGACATTGTATTACAGGATGGAAGATCTGTACAACGGTTCCAAACAATTTGGTAAGGTGTCAAAATAGTAACCTAATTCTCATTAAAATGCACCAACACAGCAACATATTTCACTGTAATATGGAATGTTCACATACATCAGCTACTAGTAGGCTTTATTTGTAAATCACGTATCGTTAGAGAAGGGTGGGCTCCCCGACACTTATTGTAAAGTTGGGGTGCTGAAAGTTTAGGAAGATATATCCTGCTCCCTACACAATCAAAACAAACCAACTCTAAACTTCACCAAGTTTATCCACACAACACAATCCAATCAAACCTCTAACTTGTGCACTTGCCTGCTTTCCAAAGAAAGAAGGTACTATATGACCTTGGTTTTTAAATTGCTAGTGCATAGGAACTGAGAAGTTTGAATGCAGGGAGAAATGGCTACATTCCCCCCCTCTGAAAATGGAATTATGTGTTGGGGGCGGGTGGGGTGGGAGTAACAAAGGACTTTTTTCTTCCTTCAACTACATCTTATTTTGCTTACAACCTGAGTCACTTGCCTTTTTCCTTAAAGGGATCTATTTTTGCCTATAACATTGCATAGAAAATTCAACTATTACACTAGACATAAACTTCAGTCTAAAGGAATATCTTTATTAAATGGGTTGGCTTCTAAATGAACGTGGACTTGGGCGATGAGGAATTCTCAACCAAATGAGGTTTCATATAAATGACTGAAAGAGAATTTTGGCAAAGGACAATGTGGAAACTGATAAAGTTATTAAATTGGAAAGCCCACAGAAAACTCTGCAACACACACATCAAAAAGTATTAAGTACTCAAACTCACATCTTATGTTCATAACCTGTAATTAACTTCTTGAGATGTGGGTGTTTTTTAAAAAAATACTCAATACAGTTATTTTCATACAAGGGCAGATTTATCAAGATAACCTGACCTGAATTACCTGCATAATTTAGAAGACTTCAAGTAGCCTCATCATTTAGATTACTTTCAGATCAAGTAGCCTAATTATACACTCAGGAAGGCGTTTCTTAGTAGAAAACTAAGAGAAAATGAAATAATGAGGAAAAATTTATCATCCTGCCCATATATTTAAAAAAACAAAATTAAACTACAAATGAATCAGGAAAGACATCTAGAATGAACTTACTATATAAGAGCTCTTACAAATTAGTAAAAAATAATAACCAACACCCCAAAACAAGATGTCATAAAAGAAAACCAACACCTAACCCCGCCCCTCCCCCAAAAAAATAGTATTATTTTTTAACTATCCAATAGACAAAGATTATTTCACCATTGCAAAGGTACAAGGAAATGAATGCTCTAACTTCTGGTGAGGTATATTTAGGGAGGCAATCAGAATGTTTTAGTGTTCTGATCCGAGTCCTACTACTTACAGGAACCCACAAATGTACAAAATAATTTATGTATACTGCACAAATGTTTACTGAAAGCACCTCTACAAGAAAATATATAACTGAAATACTTAATAACAATAAAAAACTGATATATGATATAGAGTGGAATACTGTACAATTACTAACCATATTGTAGAACATAGACATGGGAAAATGAATGTGAAATAAAGTGGATGACAGACCACCACATGCATGACCCAATTTTATTAGTTACTAGTATGTAGTATATATACCACTGCTGATATATATATATATATATATATCCTTTTTGCTGCAAATCATTCATAAGGAGATTAATTCAAATATTCTAGTACCTTCTAACAACTGCCTTGTATTTCTTCCTTTTACTATCAATAATTTATACCCACTGCTTCTAAAATGTTTGTAATTTACAAAATGCTTTCAATGCAAGTAATTCATTTGATTCTCAAAACCTAAGAATTTGTATTGTACCTTTTTGAGATGAGAAAACAAGATCAGAGGTTGGTTTGTCCAAGGCTCATTAATTGGTGACTCAGAGACTCAAACCTCATAAGATGCTTTCTTTCCTCCTGGTCAACCCTACTTCACCATCGGAAACGACTCTCAAAGCGCCTAATGCTTTGTTTTACTAGTAATGACCCAATAAATTTAAATTCCAGCTTTGCTAAACCAAAAAAAAAATGTTTTAATCCAAGAGGGCAGGCCTAACTCTTAAGTGCTCTAAATTTTTAGTAATACCAAATAAGCTTTGAACAGAAATTGAATTCTAGGGATATTTTATTTAGAAAAAGATACTACTGAAGCCACAAGATTTTAATTTTTCTTTTAAATGCCACACTAATTAGATGTAAGATAGTCCTGAATAATAAAAGTATTTACACATTGAATACAAAATAAATATAAAATAACTGAAAAATTAGTTATCCAGTGATTCATTTTGCATTTCCACTGTTCACCTTCTGTTTCATTTTTCTTTGTCTTTTGTAAACCCTTTTCTTCCTTGCTTTCAAATCAACTTTTGGCTCTGGTTTTATCCACTGTATTTCTATAGGTTTTTCCTCAGCTGGTGTAACAAAAACATCTGCAGTGGGATCATGTGGAAGAATAGTCTTTGGTTCTTTCTTTCTCAGTTTTTGTACCTCTTTAACTTGCTGTTTCTCCTTATATTTTGCAGCTGTGATGGATCTTATGACACGCCGATGCTAGAAACAAACAAAAAAACACATTAGATGTTTTTGAAATATGAATAAACATTTTACATATGGTAGCAAGAACATAAACTTAGGACCTATTTCCCTTAAATCCTGGGAGCAATTTTAAAAAAATAAATAAATAAGTAATTTACAAGACTGTATGCAACAAAACCCAAAGTCAGTTTCACAGTTAACAGAATAGTAATTACCTGACAAAAATTCTTTGGGCCAGACTTTTGGAACATGAAAGACCACTAAACAAAAACAGCTTACCATGTTTGGTGACTGGTAGTGAGGATTTTCATATAAAGTTGGTCCTCCAAAACTTCCCTGGAAAATCTTTATGAGATTTAAGACGAAGCGAGGTCCTATTTCTACAAGAGCAGCATCTTCTTCTATGATCTTTAATAAAAAGAAAACATTTCATTTTGGTTTGGATATACTATTCCTAAAAGGTATATTGGCTAGAACCTCACTACAAATGAGCCTAAAAAACTGAAAATAAAAATTAAGGTAGAGGTGAAACCCGGCAAGTGCCAAACCATCAGCATTTCCTGAAATATATTAGTTACAGTAGTTTATCAGGAAAAAATATAAAGGCTTTTAAGTATTCTTTTAAAACTGAGAAATTTAAATTTGGTTCATATCCTGCTTCTCACAAAGCATGCATCCTGGAAAACCACTGGTTAAATGTTTTTAAAACTGCGATTATTGTAACAAAATGTATTGAAGCACACTACAGGGGACCCTTTAAAAACTGTAATCAACCCCTAAGTTGTTTTTATAAACCTAATCAAATGAAGTTAAAGGTATATAAAAGTATAGTACAGGGTCAAATTTATTTTTGAATGGCTACTGATTGAGGCCACTTCTGAACTACAAATATTAACACTGTATATTGTTTCAGATATGTCTGCCCTCAGAGGTTAGGAAGTATGTTGAGCTCCCTTTGCAAGGTACCCGATATAACAACCCATGAAGAGCCCAGTGCTTCACATGCTGCCTGAAACCTTGGATGTTTTTCCACCTCCCCACCTCTCTGCAGATTTATTATTATCCTGCCAAATTCCTTCTTCCAGATTTTCAGAATCACCTCTCCTCCTGAATGAGTCACCGTGTGACTCACCTAATAGTTCTCATTAAATGCCTTCTATAGAGGTTGTTTTTCTAAGTTTTAACCCTACCCCACGGAGATTCTAACTCTGCTTACATTTTACTGTGTCCTTTATAGCACCTAGCACAAATTTAGAACTCAATTGCTTCTCGGATCTTCAGACTATCTCCTTTTAAAAAAACTAAGTATATGGTCAATATGTAGTGGTATTGTTTGTCCTAATTTATTTCAAAATATAATTAAAAATTAATTAAAGCTAACCTGAAAGTTCCGAAACCATATCCTATTATCCAAAACAGTGAAAGTAAATACGTGGTCCACAAATGGTTGGCTTTTGGGATGGTAGCGTGGTGTACTAAAGATCTAGTGGGGGAAAAAAAAGAGTATGTTAGTTCCTTATTCTACGATCCAACCTGTTTTAGTTTTAGATTGCTGAGTTAAGAAAAAGTCCAAAGGAAGACACCGATGTATAAAATATTACCAAAGGTACTTTCTACTTACCTGAATTAAGAGTTCTTTTAGCAAAGCATAATGTGGTAATTCATCAAAAGCCTGTAAAAATAAAGTGAGCATATTAATTGTCAGTAGCAAAGTGCTTTGTTTAAAACTGTTTTATGTTCACTAAACTGACTTATACAACTAACTATAACCTCGAGAAACCACCATGCAGAGTAAAAAGTTAGACTTCTTATACTAACTGCAAAACTTACAGGATCAAAAGACAAAAGGGGCCGAGAACCTTTCAAACAGTTTCCAGTCATCTTTAGTTCAGCGAGGGTATGAACTAGAAAAGATTATATTAACAAGAAAAATAGTTATAATTTTGGCACAATTATTCCAAAAGTTTTTCAATGTTCTCATAAAATTTTAACTTACTATTTTGAACTAGGAATTTAGCAGATGGTCCATGAGGTGAATTTGAAAGCCTGAAAAACAGGAAGGAAGCCTTTTAATTAGAATCTAGAATGTAGCAAATGTTTACTTTGTATTTATAGTTAAAAAGATACTATAATGTGCTCATAACATTCATATATTTAATTTTTTTGAAGGTTTCAACTTTTGTGAAATTAAATGAGTTCACTTCATCCCCTGGCCCTGTCTTTTTACAAAAAAAAAAAAAAGCCTGAAAGGCATCTGTAAGAGGTACAAAGAATAAATCCATTTAAAGAACAAGTTCCACACCAATGTTACATAATACATTCTCTTACCACATATAGAGATCTTGTTTCTTCTTAGCTTCAAAATAGATACATTTATTGCAGTTTTTCATCTCACAAACCTAAATGGAGCAAAGTATAAAGAAATGAAGTAGATTAAATGAGATCTACAGCAACTCAATGCAATTAATACCAATACTCTTTCAAAAAACTTAAGCAAATTAATGAGCTACAAAGGTCTAAATCTAGTAATTGTATTTGCTCACAAAAAGAAACCTTTCCAATTCCTCTGGGTATTCTGCCCAAGGTAAACTCGATTCTCTGTCTGCCTCTGGTGTAAACATCTCATCTTTTGGCCCCAACATTTTAAAGTAAACAGGCCTCACTTCTGACTGCTGGGAACCTCTTCTTCTGACCAGTCATGTACAAGCTACGAAGACTGAAAACAGATGCCCTAGGGCTACTGCACACTATAATGAGCCTCACTACTCGTAGGAAAATACAGTCCTTATGGAACCAAACACATACTTTGTAATGGTAATTCTGATTTTTAACTCTTTCATTTTTTTAATTTTAAGATCAAGAAACTTAGGTTTTTTTCTTCTTCATTTATACTATCATTTCTGTGGTTCGGCTCTGTAAAATCACTCAGGGATTGGTGAAAAACAGAAGTGTACAAACCCTATTTTAATTTGAATTAAACTTCAACATCTTGAAGGTTTACAGAGTCACACTTGAGAAATATACAAAAGCAAACAGGAATAAAGTCCTGTAGTATTGTAGTACTAATTCATAAACTCTAAACTTTAAACCTAACAACTTAGAAAGTTCATAGGTGCAATGCTTTTCTTTCTGGTCTTGGAATGAACCCGGCAACACTACGCTGACCATTTCCCAGTCCAACCTCAGCTGCGGGAAACCCAGGCCCTACTTTAGTCTCCTGTATTCACTACTATTCTAAGGCTCTGCATGGCCTGCCGCCCCCTCCCCCCGGAGCAGGCAAGCTCCACGGTGACAAGGGGGCTGCTCTGCAGACACTGTTTCCACAGCACCTAATGCCATGACCTAGCACAGGTTCAACAATGTGTGCTGAATGGATCAAAAACCTAACAGCTAAAGAAAAGTATCTTTAAAAAATTCTTCTAAGTTTTAACCTCATTACTACTTTGTAGTATCTTAAGAGCAAGTACGACATAAATCACTCTACTTAACACTGGCAAAAAGCTTTCTACAATGTGGGGTTTTAAAAATACTTTTATCTTATACATGTTGACTGATAATTCTGTGTATGTGTACCCAAGTATGATAAAGAGAAGAATGACCAAGAAATAATACAGAAGCACTAAACTGTAAGACATAGACAGTGAGTACTATTAACAATGTAGAAGGTAGATTATTGAAGATTTAATAAAATCTGAGTATCTTTTATAAAGCAATGTAAAAGTCATTGAATAATTGACTTCCTAAATAGTGTTCCCAGAATATTTTACTTTAATTACTTTCTAAAATTACCTCATTAATCACAAATAACTTATCTTTACGATCCATTTTAGTATCTATAAAAAGAAAAAAAAGAAAAAGCAAGTAAATACAAGATTTCTAAGCACCTTCAATCAAATCACACATGCTTTCTAGAAAATTATTTCTAAAGTGTTTTTGTAATCTTCACTTTAATGTAATTTTGTCAATATTCAACATGATTAGATCTGAAAACACATGACCTCTTGAAAATCTTGATTCTTTTTAAACATGAAAATGAGTAATGAGCCCTGGCCAGGTGGCTGGATTGGCTGGAATGTCATCCTGTGCACCAAAAGGCAATGTGTTTGACTCAGGCTCAGGGCCCATGCAGGAGGCAACCAACTGATGTTTTTCTCTCACATCAATGTATGTAGTCTGTCTGTCTGTCTGTCTGTCTCTCTCTCTCCTCTCTTTAAAAAAAAGTAATTAAAAGTAGTCCACGAGAATTATAAACAATGATCTAAGCAGTGTTTCCTCAGACTTTATGTATTCTGTGAATCCCTTTCAAAAGTAAAAAAATTCTCACAACTGAACACCATGTTCTAGGACTCCAGTTTACAAAACACTCAAACTAAAATTTGAAGTAATGAAAATTTCTTTTAAATATGAATCACAGTTGCTAAAGGAAACCAGTAAAACAAAGGATTTCATATTATCACAGGAAAAAAGAAAACCGATATAAATTAAAAATTTTTCTTATTAGTGTCAGAGATCTGAAGATGTAGTAGCAGACCCAAGTTCAAGTTCAAGAAACACTAATTAGTAAAGAAAGATCTAAGTTACTATCTAGAATCAACACAGACACAGAAATAGCTCCATGATGGCACTGGCCTCAGTTCCAAACTTAAAACTAGATGTTCTTCACCTGCCGGTAAGATACCTCAGTGCTAAAAAGATTATCCGGACACAGAGGAGGAGGAGTCCCACCTAAGGTGCCTGACATCCTGCTCCAGGTCCACTAATCTGTAGATGAGGACAGCTGTGGTTTGTAATTTAATGCAGAAAGCAACACATGGCAGCCCTGAGTCACGTAAAGGACAAACCAGGACGGCTGAGAGCATTGCTATGGAGGCATTTCTTCTGGACCTTCAAGAATGTTCCAGGAATCAGGATCTTTGTTTAAGAAAGTGAAGAGAATCTAAAATAATAAAAGCGTAATATGCTCATTAGACCGAACGTCCTTCCTTTGGGACAAAACAGCAGCGGGCGGGGGGGGCACAGTGGGCAGGAGCAGCAGCAGAGGCGGGAGGGGGCCAAGGGGGCCGGGGCCCAGGCCCTTGCACCAATTTCGTGCTTCAGGCCTCTAGTGTTCAATAAAGTTTGCAAAGAATTCCTGACAAAATGTTAACTGGAAAAATCTTGGCACTGAAAAAGATACACTTTTGAGAAAAGAGTACTGGTTCTTGACCTCACAAGATTGAAAAACTGATGTGTGACTTGAACTGGAAATATATAAATATGCACTTTTGTGAACATAAAATTATAAGGACATATAACATAAAGGCACCTGCTTTAGAATGAGGCATCAACATTCTTAAGTCTTGCATTAAATGTCTTGTTCTGAAATTTATTCCTCTGGAAGAAAAGATGAGAATCCGTTCCTTATTTTTCCACTTGCCCTAAAGAAAAATAAAATGTTAAAAGATTTTTAAATCTCAGAGTGAGCCTACCTTGTTTGTTTGTTTAAAGCGTCCAAGTAGCAAGCCAACAATCCTGACCAAAACTTTAATTCAACCTCTCAGTAGCATTCAGACCTCAACTGCCACCCAGAAATCCTCTCCTTGGCTTCCTTCCCTTGTTTTCCTTCAGTGCCTCCAATTCCTCCTCCTGACTCTAGATTCTTTCTTAGCCTCTTTTACTTCTGTCTCCCCAGGAGAGTTCTCATAATCATTCAAACAGCACGAGCTGTCAACTCTACAAAAGGGTAAAGAACTCCGTCCAGTCCTACTAATCTCAAACTCAATTCTAGAATGCTAAATCTCAGATCTGGTCAATTCCCGTGTTCTTTCTTTTTCTGATGATGTCACCACCATCTCAGTCCCCCAGGCTTTGAATCTTCCTTGCCCTTATTCTTTCATCTCACAAGCACTACCAACTGCTGTCAATTTCCTTTGCAACAGCTCTTAATCCTTTCCTACACCCACTGCACTCCTTCAGACCCTCATAGCCCTATTCCTACTGCTAATCTCCTAACTGGCTAGCCTTCCTGGCCAGGAGCCCCTCCAATAGACGTGGCTGACAGCACCAGCTTAACCTTAAAGCTCAGCTCCCATCATCCTACCTCCTAGGTTTTTCTAGACAAGGTCCAAAATGGCATAGCTTTCCAGTGGATTCTAAAACGAATTTATATTTTCACCTCATATTATCCCAAATCAACCCTACACTTTAGCCAATTGGGTTCTACTTTTTTTTTTTTTTTTTTTTTTTGAGAGTGTGCTCTTTAAAGCTGTGGAGTAAAAGAAGGAAGGGCTTAAGATAGACGAAGCACGGGGAGAGAGACTAGGTGGAAATGCTTTGGCTCTCAAGAAACATTACGGGGAAAATATGAGCCGAGGTGGGCCTATGTGAGCTCACAGCCAGAGTCAGAGAAGGGGCCTTGAGACAGGTTCGGGGGTTGGCCCGGGATGAGCTGTTGCTGCCCACTGCTCCCCTGGTTCAAGTCCCAGGGGGTCCCTTACAGTTCAGGAGATGTGTG